AATTCTTTTTTGCTTCCTTAAGATCCAATAACTATTAATTCAGTAAAAAATAAATATAACAGCTTAAAAAAAGCAATATATAATAGAAAATTAAAAAATACATCAGAAAATTCATAAAAAATCTCATTTTTTATGCATTTTGAATTTTTGAGTATGTTAAATTTTGTGTATTACTGAATTAATAGTTATTGGATCTTAAAAAAGTAAAAAAGAATTAAAACATGATGTTTATGAATGAGAAATAGCAATATAATAAAAAGTGGCACAGAGAGAGTGGCACAGAATATAAGACAGAAGATCGTTGCGCCGAAAATCTCAAGTGACAAGCAAGAGATGAGATTCGAATATTCCGAAAATCTTGAGACACAGACAACAATTGACCGACTACTACTAATGACAGACTCAAATTGAAACCGTGCGTAAGCGAAAATCAGAGCAAAATATTGGAAGTCATTTGATTTTGGATTCTTCCTTGAGCCATTTATCGTCTGCATTTCTTGCGCTTAGTCAAATGGAGAAGATAGAGCACAAGTATGTTGAAGTGAATGGCTTGAAGCTTCATGTGGCTGAGATCGGAAATGGGTCTAAGACAGTGTTGTTCTGTCATGGGTTTCCAGAGATCTGGTACTCCTGGCGCCACCAAATGGTTGCGGTGGCCAGCGCTGGTTTTAGAGCCCTTGCACCTGATTACAGAGGATATGGATTTTCCGATCCCCACCTGTTCCTGAGAAGGCCAACTACTTAGACTTTGTCAGTGACCTCCACGCTCTGATTCAATGTCTTGGCATTCCAAAGGTTGATACCCTTTTGCTAATTGTCTCTTTCTGTGAGAGCATTTTGCTTTTCCCGTTAGCTGTTGTGAATGTGCTTTTCTTGCATAATTGGGAAAGCTTATTAACTCTGTGAATCTAATTGATCAAGAAATTTTCTTTTTTCCCTCGCTCATTTCCATGAAATAATATTTCTATCTTAAGATGCGGAATTTGATCTGCAAGTTCACCTGCTTTTCTTTGGAAAAATGTTCAAGAAATGAACAAAGGGGATCTTTTTGAAGCTGTTTCTGATACTTTTATATGGACTACTGGGACTACCAATCTGTCTCAAGTCTTTCCTCTTTGATATATGAGTTCAGATGGGTAAAATTTCTTAATCTCATTTCCAAGATGCACCAGTATATGAGAGAAAAGAAGAGAGATGAAGAATGCTCTGCCAAAATCATTCCTTTGTCACTGAAATTAAAACCTTTTGAGATCCTTCTCCGAATTTTCCGCACAATGTGCAGGTTTTTCTCGTGGCCAAAGATTTTGGAGTCCGCGTAGCACAAGTTTTTGCCCTTCTCCATCCGGAGAAAGTTGAAGGAGTTGTAACACTGGGTGCACCCTTCACACCTTTGGGACCCCCACTGTTTCTGCAGTACCTCCCTGGAGGCTTCTATATTTCAAGATGGCAGGTGCATAATTCTCTTTGTTATTTTCTTCCTTCTTCTTGCATTCATACCAGAGTTAAGTAAATTCTGGATGCGGAATTATGCTGGAGTGGGGGAGTAGGGAGTCATGAATTTCGAATACAGGTTTCGAGGTCAAAATGTGGGTTCTAACAAAAAATAACTTGTTCATTCTAGGAACCTGGAAGAGCTGAAGCAGATTTCGGCAGGTTTGATCCTAAAACAGTTGTTCGCAGAATCTACATTCTGTTCTCAAGAAGTGAATTGCCAATTGCTGGGGAGAATCAGGAAATAATGGACTTGGTGGATTCATCTATGCCTTTGCCCTCTTGGTTCACGGAGAAAGATCTCGAAATGTATGGCAGTCTTTATGATAAATCTGGATTCCGCACCGCACTAAAAGTACCTTATAGGTACCCAATCGATCAAATTCCTCTTGAATATTTGTACTGACTGAGTCAGCCATGTTTCTAAAACTAGGAGTTTTCTTGTTACTGTTCAGTCTTCTATACCTGCTAACCAACTGGTTTGTTTGTGTTATAGGTCATTGAGCGAAGAGTTCAACATATCAGAAATGAAGGTGGATGTCCAGCGCTATTGATAATGGGCGAAAAGGATTATGTTATCAACTTCCCAGGAATGAATGACTACATAAGAACTGAACAGGCAAAAGAGTGTGTTCCTCAATTGGAGACAAAATACATACCTGAAGGTTCCCATTTTGTTCAGGAACAATTTCCTGATCAAGCGAATGACCTGATACTCAACTTTCTCAAGCAGCATAGTTAACCCGGGCACCAAAAAAACAACTCTCTCTAGTAGATTTTGATGTACTTTTGACTGTTCCCTACTACTTTCACTTCAGAGTGGACATCTGAAAGTTCTTAACCAGATGTGTGGATGGAGTTTCCCAGTGCTATGACATTGGTGGAGTTTGTAATGCTGTAACATTTCTGAAATAATAGAGAGAGATTCTCTGCGGTAATGTTGCATCATTCACAATTTCTGTCATACTACCACTTAAAAGCACTTCTTACCATTTCACTAAAGCTTGGCATTTTCTAGCTTTTGTACAACATGATGCTATGGTTGATTTTCATTTGTCAAAAGTTTTACGGGTAATAGAGCTAGTGATTTCTCCCTGTGACTCATACAACCCAAAAAATACAAATTCAAAACTTTTGACTAATTTTGATTTTAACCGTTAGATATTAAAGTTTCTTTTAGTGGTCCTCAATTTCCCTAAAATAAAAAAGTTTGGGATCATATTTATTTTGGTCGAAATATCAAGAATCAATTTAACTGATAAACCAAACATGAGGGACCCAAATTGCACATCGCCCTTTATTTTAATTATGTCTAAGTTCCTAACTCTTCCTTTTATATTTATGCTTCAATTATTTCAAATATCAAACTCAATTAAAAGAAAAAAATATCACAACATTTGATTTAACATATATAAAATCCACTAACTAATGTTGAAAATTTCACCAATTTTCCGTTACAACAATCTTGTCTATCTTTTCATGCCTTTTATCTATGTTTTTTGACATTCTTTTCTTACATTTTCTTACAGAAAGTAAGAGTTACGCAAATAAACCTAATCCCGTGAGAAACCTCAAAAGCCGACTATTCTTGAGGTCCTCACAGGGACTTATCTACCCAACCCATACCCCCTCCCTTACCGATGTGGGATTTGGAAACCCCGACAGGGGCAAGTCCAGTGGGCCGCCCCTGCTAGAGGATAAAGACCCCCACGAACCCTGTCCTGTTGACCCACCCCTTGACAAGAGTTTCTTTTCTTACATTTTCTTACAGAAAGTAAGAGTTACGCAAATAAATCTAATCCCGTGAGAAACCTCAAAAGCCGGCAACTCTTGAGATCCTCACAGGGACTTATCTACCCAACCCATACCCCCTCCTTACCGATGTGGGATTTGACATTCGCTTTTCGCTCTTTCCCTTTCATTGGGACCCGTATTTCGGCTTGGAGTGTTCACAAAATATTTTCTAAATACTGGGCATTAAATGATAAACAAATTTTTAAGAGGGTTTTTATTGTAATTTGAAAATGCATTGCATCATTTCATTCACACACGCCCGGCCTTATTTGGGGCCCAGTACATCTTTTTGCTATCCGCCTTTGTGCGTCCCCACAAAAAAAAGTTGGCTTCCTTGCATTGCTTCTGCCTACCGCGGACAGAAAAGTGTATTTTCCACCGTAGACGGGACCACCGCTGAGAAATAAAGGTGCAAGATCCAAAACATGACATTGAGTTGGACTACTTAGAAGTACAAAGTACTAGAGATTTTCTTGCATAGCCAATGCCAATATATTGTGCCGAAAATATTGAAGAATTTCCTGGTATTCTCATTTCTCTAAACAATAATATGTAAATTCTTGCCAAGTTATATGTAGTGTCCATGTATATGCATAACTCGTAGAACTGAAGAATTGAAGTAATTGTTAACTTAATTGGATTGCTAATTAAGCTACTTAATGGGCGAGACCACAGTGGTAAAGTGCACTAAAAATTCTATCAGGAAGACATTAATTTTTGCTCTTATATTTTAGATATCAATCAATTACTTCTCATATTGGCTGGCAAGCGAGGACCTTAAGAAGGGATGTAAATCTTATGCCATTATGGACGCATATGAAGTGCTTGCATACTTCCACATAAACCACAAAAGAGTCTGCGACAAAGGAGCACATATGCAATATGAAAAATAAACATGAATGAAGAACACAATAAACGTAAATTAATTAAGTCAATAGATACAGAATCTCTCTCTCACACATTTTTACGATAGTTTGTAAAGCTCCAACAAGTATTAGAAGAAAAACAAATTCAAATAACTAAATCGTAGAACAATAGTTCATAACTTCACAACACTTTGAAATTCCTTACAGCCCCAAATATTTGATGCCAACATGTCACGTTTATTCCAGTCCCAAATGGCGCCATGTGGACAATGGCTTTCATATAGCACTTTGAAATTCCTTTAGAGCGTCCTAACATGTCAGCATTGATATTAAAAAAGTCATCTTTAGTCATTGCTGGTTTCCTGGAACTCCAAAAGGAATGATCACAAGATGCATACGAGTAAGGTATCATCAATTGCTCTTTTTTGACAAAACCATGCCAGCTAGAAATGTAAACCATACATTAGTAACAAGTAACTGAGGGTACTTGTTGGTAACACCAAAATACCAGCACCTTGCACACTGGTTTTACAAAACAGTAATGCTAGCTTCAATATCACTTAATAATACCCTGCTAGCAAGTGGCACACATGAAATTTTAAGGTATATCTCAATTAGCTAGACTATCTACTTGAAATCAAGAAAAAAAATTACCTCAAGAATCAATTCATTCACTCACCAACTAAAGGCAAATCAAACCATAATAAATAGCATTTTAAGAATCACAAACATAAATATTTAAATTGCAAAATGTTACCTTCTTTTGTGGGGTTTTGGTAGGTTCTTCCTCATCCTCAAAAGTTTCTTCTTCATCTTCGGAAGATGAATCATCTGAGCTGCTTTATCTTTGTTGCACAGGCTGCAAAGTTAAATTCAAGCATTTGAACATATAAGTGAAATGTTAAGGTCCCACAAAAGCCAAATGCGATTAAACTTTCATCTTAACTTTCCTCTTCACTACTACTTTTTGTTTTCCCGCCTTTAGCACTGGATTCAGAACACCAGGGCTAGAGAACCCCACAAAGAAATAATTACAAAGCCAACTGATATGTTAAAAGGCAACAAAATGCATACTTGAAAATTACATACCACAACTTTACTCTTCTTTTTCTGAGGCTCCCCATCTTCACTTTCCTCATCAAAAGTGTCTTTCTTGCTACTATCTTTATTCACCTGCACTTGCAAAGCTAAAATGAAAAATGTATCTGATACCAGTCAAAAAAGCATGTCCTCTTTAACACTTTAAGCATGTGAAGCTATTACCTGCTTGTTTTCAGCTGCAAAGGATGGCCTCTTGGGAGAAATAGCTTTAGGAGGTGGTGACTGCCATGTGATAAAGTAGCAAAACAAGGAAATATCAAGAATTAGAAAAAAAAAATGTAGAAAGAACCATAATACCTCTTCAAAGGAATATATGTCATCCATATTTTTAATGAAGCCTCAGCATTGTAACATTCATCAAACCACTCATCTACTAAACTAAAGTCTTTACTTGCATTCCTTTTTCTTTTCATTTTAATGAAAGTAGGAGTAACGAAATGTGACTAATGATAGCTACTGAAGAGAGTAAAACTAACTTTTATATATATGAAATCCAAACTGCTAGATATAAGTAGCTGACCATTCTAACGCTTTTACATAAGGTTGGAACTCATAAGTGCTTATCTGTGCTAGGAATTAATCAGTGCATGACCAGTTCCTAAAATCAAAATTTAAGCAGAAACCAAATTATATCAAACAAATCATGATTTGAGTGCAGATTCTACTTCTTGAGCCCCAAAACACCTGGAAAATTAGAACCAAGACAGTAGAAAGCTAGGGAAATACTCTTTAACTGGTCTTTGGTTGTAACTATGATAGTCACTAACATGACAATGCAATCATAAAAGTAAAAAACAATTGATGGAATTAATGTTTCTAGGTCTATCAAAGTATTGTTTCCAATGGAATTTAAAGATAGTTCGACCCATTGCAAGACATTAAAGGATCATTCAGCATACAAACACAAAGGCAAAAGTAAAATCATTTTTGTAGGACTAAACAGTAAGCTAAAGAACATCTCTTAAATCATCTAATACTCCATAACAATGAGACACGTATATTTTCAGAAAACTAAACCAGTATAGTGGTAAAGCTACCTATAGAAGCAAATTATCAAACACAAAGCATGCTACTATTGTTATGCATCACTTACTGTATTTAGAATATGTGAATGCATAAAATAGCAAAGGTGTTGTGGTTTTAAGGTTTGAGAGTTGTGTGGAACTTGGAACGCTGCCTTTAGAAATAGATTTGAGGAATTAATATTCTACACTTCAAGGCAACTACAACAAATTCTAGAAGCTCAATATTAGGATTATCTGTTTTAAATTTGGTTTGTTCTATCGCAGCCTAACTTTTGTGGCATAATAGCTTCAACGGGGATAAAACCTTAATATGTAGACTCATTCTAATGCTTTTACATAAGGCTAAAACTTAACGTTACAATTGAGATTGAGAATTTAACTTATTTTAGCTTGGTTATCTCTATTCAGTAAGTAGTAATAACCTTCGTTGGTAATTAGTTGTGCTATATTATAACAGGAAAAGAAAAGGCAAGAAATTGAAGGACTGAAGAGAGAGACCTGAAATTGAAGCAACTGCTTACTGTAAATTGTGTCGATGTTAAATCAGAGGTTTCTCTGCACCAATTGTTTCATACTGCAATTAACCCTTGAAGAAATTTAACAACCAAAATAAAAAGTAGACAAATTATTGAGTTTCTTTAGTACTGGTAGGCGAAAAAATTAGAGAAAGAAAAGGAGTAGTTACCTTTAGCACGAAGAGTTTGCAGAGAAGAAGTAGAAGAAGCATGAAGTTTTTTTTACCGGCATTTCTGTTCTCTGTTCCTAATATAAGGGCACAAAGTTTACTTCATTTCTTGATAATTTGCCAATTGGTCAACAATAAGGAAAGCAAACGACATACCTATATCCCTAGCAATGGTATTAGCCATGATAAAGAGAGTGGATAAAGATGCAAACTTGATAAATTCTCAGAGATTTTTGTTTTGACTCTTGATAATTTACCAATCGGGAAATGAAAATGAATATAAAAGGACAAACCAAAATCCATAGTTGGGATATGATAAAGAGGACAGAAGTAAAAAAAAAAAAAAAATTGGATGGATAGCCATAATTTAGGGAAGAAATCATTAAATTGTCGACCGAGTGCTAGAGGAATTCAAGCAGTACTTTTCTTGGTCTGAACCAAAAAGAAAATGAGAGGGAAACAAAAAAGGAAAACAGAGAAAAGAGAGAAAGCAAGAGGAAAACAATGGGGGAATAAAAAGGAATAGAGAGAGACAAACCACAAAATTCAATAAGCTGCCGTAATTTGGTGAAGACAATCTTCAAATAGTTGACCAAATGTTGGAGGAATTCAATTGGCACTCTTCTTTATCTATAAACCAGAAAAGCAAAACGAAGGAGAAAGAAAATAAGGGAAAAGAGAGATAGAGCATGAGATTGTTGACCAATGAGCGGAAGAGTTGAATTCATATTTTTCTTTGTTTGCTTTGGAAGAACACATAGCAAGTAAACAACCCATTTTTGGCCACTGTCCCTAAAAGCTGTTCAACTACTTGTTTACTGCTCTTTTTCCACCGAAGAGAAGAGGAGCAGTGGAAGAAATGGGAAACAATGAAAAGGAGAGGAGGATAATTTGACCCAACATGCCGGAAATAACCCTCAACAGTTATCTACTGTTTTGAGGTGATGTTATGTCTGGTAGGATAAAGTTGTAATTAAACGGTAAAAGACGAATGACCCCTTAACAGTAGTTGATTGTTCAGCCCAGAAGTTAAATTTTGGAGGGCATTGTTGGCAAAAGACAGCTGCTACAGTAGGCTCCCTCCCCAAACTTGCAATGTTTTATTAGTGTGTTTTTAGTTATCATCATCCTTCTTCTTCTTCTCGGTCAGTCCATCCATCCATCAACTCAGGTTAGGCACCCAAAGTCAAAAAGCTATTAGGTATTAGCACTAATTAGATTTTTGTTAACATGTTAAATGAGTAGTGAGCAAGAGAATACCTTTTATCCTCCATAAAAGAACAAGGTAACTAAAGATTCTGTTATCAAGTGATTTGTACACAATTAATGGTCACTTACATGAAATTACACCCTAATGGAAAATGCACTCCCAGTCTACTAATGAATGGTCCATGTCTATTTCAATATCCAGCGATTACCTTAACAAAGAGAACGTAAAACAATAAAAAAATTAGTGCTTTTTGTACACTCAATGTGTGTTCAATAAATAGATGTATAATATTTATGGTAAGTAAATTTTATATGAATTTTTTATTGCCAAAATAATAGTTAATTTCTTAAATTTCTTTCACATAATAATTGTTATATTGATAGTTATAATGCTTAGTATTAGGTATGTTTAAGGTAAATAATTAAAGTAAAACATGTTTTGGTCTATAAGAGTAAAATCGAAAGTTCAAAAAGTGACAAATGTTTACACTAAATTGCCCTTTATATATATTATATAGACTAATGTTAAGGGCATACCCAATGTACGTGCAGTTTAGAAATAATTATTAATGTTTATGAATATGTTAATTTTGTTTTTACAAAATTAGATTTTATATAAATTCTTCATAAAAAATTTGCAATTTATTAGTAACTTTTTCTTTAAAAACAGCTATAGTTTATTTGGTAGTTATAATATTTAAGGGAGTTATGGGAGATTATGTTAGCAAATCTGATTAGAAGAGTAAAAATTAATTTTTAAGGACAAAATAAAAAATTCATAAAATGACACAATATTTATGACAAAATAAAAAATTCATAAAATGACACAATATTTATTCCAACTGCCACCTCTCTCCATTTCCTATACATATATAAAAAGCAGTTTGCATCTGACTCTTGGGAATTTTTCATCTGTATTGTGGAAAAGTATTTTAGGTATTCTCTGTGGAGCAGTTTGTGGAGAGAAATAAGGATGATTCTCTATAGAGGTATTTTGGTTAGAGGCAAGTAGGGAGAAAACAGTGAAGCCTAACATACAATACAACATGGTAATACATTTGCCAATGTTGGTTGCCTATAATGCCCTCTTAAGTGGGCACATGGCTTTTGAATAATGAACTTAATGGCTTAAGTAGTCATTGAATTTGTCACTAATACAAATAGAAAATGGGAAAGCTGATGAAGTTACAAAAATACAATTCAATTTCTCTAAAGAATGGGAACCACACAAATGGTTAAGAGAATTGGAATGCTTGTAAAAGGGAGGACCGTTTGTTGGAGAGAGGTTTAATTGGAAAATCACTTGAGTAACCACAACAAGTGAAGTGATAAAGCTTTGTTGGAGCATCATCAAGTGAAGCATCATTTGCAGTTAATACAGGTGTTATTGCAATACTTTTGAATGGAAATTTTATACATATTAAAGAATCTTGGCTCACATATTTGTGGTCTGTTTGCTCTTTTGTTTAGAAATGTGTAGTCACTTCATGCTGTAATTTCACCATTTTTTATGTGTAGGAAATTAGAAAGCCAAATAGATATTACGTACATAGAAAGTTGCATATATATATATATATATATATATATATGATTATGCATGTTCACCTATTCCACAACTTCCGTCCGTCTCACTCACTACCGTGTCCAACTTGCAAATCCACGACTTTAGACCCCAAAAACATGCATACAAGTAATTACCAAGTATCAGACCATTCCTCTGCTCTATCAACAACCAAAATCCATTTCACCTACACAACCTTCTATCCCATCCTATCCACCACTCAAAAATACCACATTCGTTGAATTGGAGAAAAAAAAATAGGAGAACTTACAATCTATGGACTTGATACTCACAAGGGAAGTTAAAACTGATAACAAAAAAAAGTAAGGGAAAAAAATTCAGTCGACAAGAAATAACTGAAAGCAAACGAACTTACAACTAAAATCTGTGAACGCTAAATCAGAAGCTCTTCTGCACCAATTCTTTCAAAGTGCAATTAAACCCCTGAAGAAACTTGGCAACCAAAATAGAAAATATATAGATTATCCAATCTCTTCAAGACTCGTGCGGAAAAATATTAGGCATAGAACATGAGTAGTTACCTTTACTCGGAAATGTTGTAGAGCAAAAGGAGGAAGAACCGTTGATTTTTTTGTGAGTAGTGTTTGTGTTCCTAATGTATATAAAGACACAAACTCTATCAGTTGTTAGGAATTTTTCTTTCACTGTCAATAATTTGCCAAGTGGGCAACAGAAATAAAAACAAAAGGAGAAATTTATATCCCTAGCAATGGTATTAGGCATCATGAAGACAATAGATAACAACACAAAATTGATGAGTTGTTAAGAGATTTTTCTTGTCACTCTTGATAATTTGTGAATTGGCAAATGAAAAGGAAGGTAAAGGACAAACCTATATCTCTAGTAATAGATAGAAATCATACCTCATACCTGACTCTTTGTGGAATAATCGCATGGTTGGGATATGGATGGGCAGCCACAATTGACTCTCTGTGGAGGAATACTACGATTGGGATGTGGATGAGCAACCATAATTTGGGGGAAAAGTGGGGAAAGGGAATGAGAGCCAGTGGATGATTTTTGCCTTCACATTTGTTTTTTTTCCATTAAAAAAGGTAAGAAATGAATGCATCAGTCCACCGACCAATCAGCCAAAGAAAAAGCCCGTATGTACAAAACATCAAATTTAGGCTCAAGACATTAAAAAACGGGAAACAGAGAGAGAGAGAGAGAATAATCGCATGGTTGGGATATGGGGCAGCCACAATTGACTCTTTGTGGAACAATACCACGATTGGGATATGGATGAGCAGAAAGAGAGATTGGGATATGGATTTGGCTTCTTGTCACTTTTCTTCATTGAACCAGAAGAGAGAGAAAAGAAAAATAAAGAAACGGGAAAGAGAGAGAGAGAGAGAGAAAGGAAGAAGAAAACAAAAAATGATGGGCTAAAGTTGTAAAATGAACTGCAGGTGTTTTGCTTTCCTGCCATCGGGCACTTCCAAATTTTTATTTGACTTTTTGACTCCTATGGGCTAAAGTTGTAAAAATGAAGTAGAAATGGAGTGTTTTGCTTTCCTGCCACATCGGTGCACTTCCAGATTTTTATTTGACTTTTGACGCTATGACTTCTTGTCTTTGATAACGGAGACAAAGAAGTGAAGAACAACAGAGGTGATGGCAACTACATCTAAGAAAAGATGGCAACTGAGAAATAAAGCAAAAGGCTATTCACGAGAAGTCAAAAATAGCCCTCAACAGTTAATTACTATTTTGGAGCTAGTTATTTTTATTTGGGCAAGGTAGTAATTTCATGCAAAAAGACAAAAATGACCTCAACAGCAATACACTGTTTGGAGAATCACTCAATATTCTCAGGGCATAAACGGAAGAAAATTTTCCTCCCCTCCTCAGCCCGCCACCTGGCTGAACTTGGGAGAAGAAGTCTTAGCTTTTTATATATATGTAAGATACTAGAAACTTTTTCGGCTGTGCAAGGCATAGCAAATGCCCAATGTGTTGGGCTAAATATGCAGAGGGTATTTGGTTTTCCTATATAGATGTATGGAGAAGCATATCATAAATTTTAAACATAAAAAATTAAACTACTCGTTTGGAACCTTAAAAAATACTGATCTGATTAGATGATGATTCATTTAAGTTGAATAGAACGCCTAACGATGAAATTGTTGTGCAAAGAATATAGTTGACAACATACAGAATGTAAACCATCCTCATTGGACCATTTACTCATTGCAATAGTTGCACCATTTTATATGTGCTAGCATTTCTGGTTGTAGTTACCAGCTTAACTTCTATTTTTGCATGAGCACAAAAAAATCTTGATTCGTACAATAGCTCATTCACTCAACGCATAACCATTAACATGTTTGAACTGACTCTATCTTCCCAATTTCGAGCAAAAACTAAAATATCTGTCCCCTAGAAATCATTTCACTCTAGCAAGTGAAGTCTGGAGTAAAAACAGCAACTTCTGATTTCAACCACTCAAAGCAAGGGCTCAGGCCCTAACAGAACCTAGCCGGATAGTCCTTGAGATAAACCTCTCTACCGTTTCTGATAATATAGAAACTGAAAGAGCAATTATGATGGGCCATAGTCACACGAGTGACTGGGACAATAGAGATGATATGTCTCTCACTATAACCCTTGCAGTATGAGGGACCGAAGCCCTTTCTGCAGTTACTTCAGAGGAAAACTTGTTGAGGAAGAATGAATCGGCAAAAAAAGCAGGAGTGCATTGGTAGGCTTGGGTATTGCACAACTGGATGTCTTGCACTCTGTGGAAAACATCGTCAGGAACTGTAGCAGCTCTACTTGTTGCGCTCACTTCCGAGTTGAAAGTGTTCCTGGACAGCCAAAAACACAGACAAAATGCATAATCGGTACTTAAAACAATTATGTTTTCCTTTATTTCTCCATCATGGCACAACTATGAGGCAGATTGAAATAGGCAAACAGCATAACTTGAAGGAATGCCATGCAAGAAACAACAAAACGAAACAATAAATCTTGTGGACAGAGTGATTTCAAATTTTCTGGTCGGGTTCACTAAAGTTCTTTTAGCTTTGGTAGGGATCTCAACATAGCATCCAAACACATAAATCACAAGCCAAAGTTGTTGCAGGCTTAAGTGACCTAGTACGCATGTCCACAGGGTGTACTTGGCCATCCATGACAATTACTTCAAAGGAGGGTTTCAAGCCTAGCACATTTAAGTTTGTCCAATGAAGATTCTGTGAATACTTGACTTGCCATTCTTGAATGATCTTGAATGAACCAACATACTTGTCATTCTTGAATGAACCAACAAACTGAAAAAGTAGTTATAAAATTATTCAAAAGAAATCAGATGGCACTGCTTCAATATCTGGCCCTGAACTGACTGTCCAATGGATCATGGACTAAATGGCCCTTACCTATGAGGAATGTGCATAGGGACCAACTTTTAATGACAAACTGAACCCCAACTTTTACTTAGTTATGTTCTTTTAGCATTTTAACAATTTTTTCCCCAAAATGCTTCAGGCTAGATTCAAAATCAATTTACCTATCATGATAACAAGTTCATTTAGTTATGTTCTTTTAAACTAAATCCAAAATGTTCTTTTAGTTATGTCCTAAAATCTATAAGAGATATGGCATGCCAAATATATTGTGCAAAACAACATAGGCCATACCATCTGATAATACCACTTTGTGAGTCAAAAGAGAACCACCACCCATGCACGTCACACATTTGATAGGCCCACAAGAACCACAAGTTACTCAAGGCACCATACACATCCATTACATTTTAAGCATCTGCATGGAGATTTTTTGACAAGCTATCAGCTACATAGAAAGTCTTATATCCGATAACAATAATTGCAGAGAGAAAGCTGCTAACGATCAAGATGGGCCTAACATAGCTAAACTATGAAGTGTGTAACTTTCAGTTTATGGTATGAACTCTCCCTACAGATACAACAAAGTCAGAGTATGGAATACAACTTTACATTGTATCAAACCCATCTCTGAGCAATTAGACCCCTCCCATAGCACGCAGGACAATGCATCATTTTATTTTCTTATTTATCTCCCAAAGGCAGAGCATTATTCTTTTCAGAACTTTCCATTGCAGGAACCTCTGATAAGCCTATGTAATCATGTTCCTCAAAAGGCATAGACATCAAAGTCATTTTTAAGAAATCTTAGCTCAGCCACAAAAAAGATTCTGGAAAAGTAACGAAAAGATGAAGAGTTGAAAGTATACATGGACCAAATTGAACTTGAAAGGCATATAAAGGTTGAAAGAATGAACAAAATTTTTCAAAAATCAAACTGAAAGATCAAAATTAAACTTCCATATGACATCTATAGCAAAAATATAGCGAACGTCAACATAGAATGAGCAACATGAGATCAAGATCAGAACCAAAAAAGGTCGAAAAGGAAAGATAAAGTGCCCTAGAAAACACAAAAAGAATTGGCCATAGAAAAAAAAAGGATATAGAGCAAAATAGAATTTACCTGTGTAATCTTTCTCTCCACGTTTTCTCTACTAATTATCCCAAGTTTCATATAGACATTTCATCAAACGCTTGATAGTCATTAGTCTATGAGATTTCACATACTTGACTTGTTTGAACATCTGTATTTGCTTGCAACCAAAACAAACACCACCAACCAAAAAAAAACTCAAACATCAGAACATCATTTAATAAAAAAGATGAGAAAAAGAAATAACAAAATGAAGAACATCTAATCAAAAACTTAAAAAAATGAAACAAACCTTGTCAACGAAGATAAAATCCAAAAAGAGACTATGATCAATAATGTGTATACATTAGTTTCTTTATTTATCTACTATTGTATTTGTTATGTAAAGAAATTAACAAAAAGTAAAGAAAAAATCTGTCTTACCCAAGAAGGCATCAGAGAAAAAGCAGCGAAGAGCAAGGTGGGATTTTTTGCTGCTCCTATTTCCTTCCAATAGTAAGAGCTCAGATTGCAAGACAAAATAAGGAGTGATAAATATGTATGTTCCCTTTCTGATTCCAGATTTCCCTAAAACGTAAAGACCTAAATTGCTAAGAAGCCTATCTGTCATCATAACTGGAAAATAGATCAAATCTGCAAAAATGTCTTTTTTGCAATAATCACATGATTGAGAGATGAGATAGAATACGATCTTTGTGAATCAAAAGACCAGCCAAAATTTGGGAAAAAGTTGTTGACAGAGGAATACCGCAACTAAACCGCTGAACAGAGTTGGCAATCTAAATAGCATGCAGAAGAATCCTATCAGTCAACGTAAAACTATACAAACTATCTAATAAGTGTAATACTGACAGAGGAAAAAATTAGACAAAAAGAAAGGCGTGATTAGTTTTAGTAGGAAAGATTGCAGAGGTACAATCATTTTCAGCCATATTCAGTCAATAAGTGAAACCAAATGAACTTACAACCCAAAAACTACAGTCATTTTAAGCCACGAAACAACACACTTCTATTGCTTAACCAGACAATCTGGCTCCATTAGGTCTGCACATTTTTTCATGCAAATATTAGGTTGTATGGTTCAAAGTTCGTCAAGAACATATTTCATCAAGGAAACCTCGTGTTTTTTTTTTAATGTTCCAACTTTATAGATACTCGGATTTAGAGAAATTGCCACAGATTCTGCAATCTTTAATTGGGTGTAATAGTATTCATGAGAACCGATTATGCATCATTAACTGTATCCAAAATACGTGAATATTAATAGATCAGCCACCATGTTATGGTTTTAAAATTTGAGAGTTCTGTGGAACCAGGAACGTTGCATTTAGAAATAGTTTTGAAGAATTAATATACCACATCTCTAAGCCAGCTACAACAAATTCTAGAAACTCAATATTAGCCATTATCAGTTTTAAGTTTTGTTTCTTCTATTGCCTACCTAACTTTTGTGCATAATACCTTCAACGTGGGGCAAAACCTTAATGTGTAAGACTCTTTATCTTTTATTCTCAGCTTACACTTCAGATTGAGAATTGAACTTGTTTTAGCTTGGTTATCTCTACTTCAGTAAGTGGTGACAACCCTTTCCTTCATAATCAGTTGTACATATTATTAACAGGAAAAGAAAAGGCAAGAAACTGAAGGACTGAAGAGAGTGACCTGAAATTGAAGCAACTGCTTACTGGAAATCTGTGGACGCTTAATCAGAAGTTTTTCTGCACCAATTGTTTCAAAGTGCAATTAATTCCCCTCAAGAAATTTGGCAATCAAAATAACAAGTAGACAGATTATCCAATGTCTTTAATACTGGTAGGGAAAAAAAATTAAACAAAGAAGAGTAGTAGTTACCTTTAGTATAAAAGGTTGCAGAGGACAAGGTTGAAGAAACGTGAAGTTTTTTGTGACCAGTATTTTGTTCTTTATAGAGGCACAAACTTTCCTTCATTCTAGATAATTTGCCAAGTGTCAACAATTAAGGAAAAGAAAAGGACAAACCTTATATCTCTAGCAATGGTATTGCGCATCATGAATAGAGCGGATAAAACCACTGGGCCAATGGTTTCAGTGGCCTCCAGGGAGGGGACTTAAGGGCTATTGGTAAGAGTTCAAACCTCACCAGCAGCGAAAAAAATCTAAGGGTTGTGCCATAGCACTCCCTTGGTCTAGTTGGATTTGTATACCCACTAACCCCTACAACAGCCTCCTTAGACTCCCCTTCCCCCTAAATTAGAATAGAGTAGGTTATACAAATGTATCGTTGCTGACAAAAAAAAAAAAGAATAGAGCGGATAAAGATGCAAACTGATAAATTGTCAGAGATTTTTCTTTTCAATCTCGATAATTTCTCAACCAGAAAATGAAAAGAATACAAAAGGACAAATCACAATCTATGGTTGGGATGTGATAGAGAGGCAAAGAAGTAAAAAAATTGGATGGATAGCCATAATTTAAGGAAGAAAATCATGAAATGATTGACTGAGTGATCTGGAAACACAGGAGGGGAAAGTAAAGAACGGCAAACAAAAAAAAAGAGACAAAGCAAGAGGAAAAGAATGGTTGGGGACAGCTGCAATTTAGCGAAGCCAATCCTGAAATTGTTGACCAATTGTTGGAGGAAGCAGCGTGGACAACCCATTTCTTAGCTACTGTTTTCTAAAAGCTATTCAGCTGCTTCTGTACTTTTTTTCCACCGAAGAGAACAATAGTCCAAGAAACGGGAACAATGAAAAGGAAAGGAGGATTATCATCTTTTGTGGAACAATCCCACAGTTCAGATATGGATGGGCCAGCCATAATTGACTTTTTGTGGGAGAAAAGAAAGCTGAAAGAAAAATTAACGGGAAACAGAAGAGAGATAGAAAGGAAGAAGAAAACAAAAGATGATGGGCTAAAGTTGTAAATGAAGTAGAAAGTGAGTGTTTTGCTTTCCTGCCATCGGTGCACTTCCAGATTTTTATTTGACTTTTTGATTCTTATGGACTAAAGTTGTAAAAATGAAGTAGAAAGAGAGTGTTTTGCTTTCTTGTCACATCGATGCACTTCCAGATTTTTATTTGACTTTTTGACTCCTATGACTTCTTGTCTTTGATAACGAAGACAAAGAAGTGAAGAACAACAGAGATAATGGCAATTACGTCTAAGTAAAGATGACAACTGAGAAATAAAGCAAAAAACTATTCGCGAGAAATCAAAAATAGCCCTTAACAGTAAGTTACTGTTTTGGGGCTAGTTATTTTTATCTGAGTAAGGTAGTAATTTCATAGAAAAAGTAAAAAATGACCTCAACAGTGATACGCAAGGTAGTAATTTCATAGAAAAAGACAAAAATGACCTCAACAGTGATACACTGTTTGGAGAACCACTCAATATTCTCAGGGCATAAATGGAAGAAAATTTTCCTCCCTCTCCTCGTCCCGTCACGTGGCTGAACCTGGGCGAAGAAGTCTTAGCTTTTTATATATATATATGTAAGATATGTAAGAAATACTCCCTTCAGCCATACTATTTGTATCTCTCTTATCTTTCTTGAATTTTCCTCCTGCAAATGGATCAGATTCAACACAAGTTCATTGAAGTGAACGGGCTGAAGCTCCATGTAGCTGAGATTGGAGAAAATGAATCGAAAGCTGTATTGTTCTGTCATGGGTTTCCAGAGATTTGGTATTCTTGGCGTCATCAGATGGTTGCAGTAGCCAAAGCTGGTTATAGAGCCATTGCACCCGATTACAGAGGATATGGACTATCCGACCCACCATCTGTACCCCAGGAGGCTACCTACTCTGACTTCATCAGTGATCTTTATTCCCTCCTTGATGTTCTGGGCATTTCCAAGGTACCTTTCTTCTGCCAAATGGAGTCTGTATCCTTTTACATTTTTTTTTGGGTTTCATGTTTCTCATTCAAAAGAGGATGATATAAGGCGCCTCACAAAGTGTATGGGCACAAATTAAGACTAATAATGAGAAAATCTAGTTGAGTTTCCAGGGAGCTTATGGAGATCAGACTAGTTTGACTAGATTTGTGCGATCCATATTGAATTCTCTGCTTTGCATTCGTCCTAAATAATCACCAAGTGGGAGTACTATAGTAATTGTTCATTATTTGGCATTAAGTTTTGGTTGTTTTGATGCTGACAAAGAATAAATGAAAGGTATCAAAGAAAAAATTGCAGTTTTGATACCAAATGTGTTGACCATCGGCAGTTTTAGACTTTTATTCTCTAAAAGTATGGACGAGAGAAAATCTAGTACCAAATCAAATGTTTCAATTTTTAAGCACATTTAGTCCAGTTGATTAGTTTTGGCAAATTGTTATCGAAATCTGGTCGGGTCGCGTGGGAAGCACGTTCGGGTAGGTAAATTTTGAAAAGAAAAAGGAAAAAGTTGTTGATCATAATTTGTAATTAATGGGCGCTAATTAGTCACATGCCAAGTAATTAGTCTAATTAAATGGCACTAATTAGTGCCCTTTAATTACAGATTATGGCCACCAACATTTTTTTTTTTTTTAAAACTTTTGTTAAAATGTATCCACGGTCATGTGGGCAGCACATGACCGGATTCCGGTAACAATTTGTCAAAATCGTTAATTGGATTAAACGTGCTTAAAAATTGAAACATTTGGTTTTGGATTTGCTTTCGTCCAAACTTTAGGATCTAAAATTGCTAATGTTCCAAGTATTTGATACCAAAACTACAATTTTCTCTATCTTAAAATTCAGGGGGAATGTGAAACCAATATAAGTTCTACCCATGGTTCGAAGTCTCGGCCAAGACCGAGACGACTCGGCCGAGTCGTCACCGTCTCGGCCCCTACCGATACGATACCGTGACGAAACGATACCGAAATACTTGACTCGCCGAGAAATCGGCCGAGTCGTCACCATGACGGATTGACTCGGCCGAGTTACTCCGAGTTATCCTGAGTCAAGACGAGAAATCAGCCGAGTCACACCGCCGACGGATTGACTTGGCCATTTCTTTTGCTATTTTTTAATTATTTTTATTTAGCCTACTTTTTTATATTATTAACAATTTTTAGAATATTAAATACTTTAAAATTTGCGTCTCACCGAGACCGCGACCGATATGCCGAGACCGATGTGGAACGTTCCGGGCCGCGCCCGTGACCGCGCCCGTGACTTTAAACCATGGTTCTACCACCAACCCACCAGGAGATCAAAATGATCGTGTTATAAACAGGTTTTTCTCATAGCTAAAGATTTTGGCTTTCATTTATCTCAATAAAAAGATCATGGAAGGTGTCTCGCATGGTATATGCGCGACTCAAATCAGGATTAATGAGAAAATATGATCTAGCTTTCGAGAGAGCTTATGGATATTAGACTGGTTTGATTAGATTTCTGCCATTCACATTTGCATTCTCTGTTCTGCACTCATCCAAAATAACCAAATGGAGGGAGTACATGGAAAATGACATGGTAATTGTTCGTTGTCCGACATAAGTTTCAGTAATTTTGTAGCTGACGAAGAAGAAAATGAAAACTCTGTTGAAATTCGGGGAAATGTAACCAATTTTAATATCTAGCACCAACTCACCAATTACTAGCAGATCAATATGAAAAAGTAGTAGGTAAGTCCCCATCTTACACGAACGTGGATTAAGGTTGATTGTTGTTTGTATGCTAGATGATTTCTACTTGCTGCAATTTGTTGGTGTTTTTCAGGAGCTTGTATCACGTGTATATCTTTGTGTTGTACACAGGTTTTTCTCATAGCGAAAGATTTTGGAGCTAGGGTTGCATACCTTTTTGTGCTTCTCCACCCAGAGAGGGTTGCAGGAGTTGTGACTTTGGGTATACCTTTCCTCCCACCAGTTCTTCCTCCACTGAAAGAGGGCCTTCCTGAAGGCTTCTATATGGCTAGATGGGAGGTATGAAAGTCTCTTTCTTCACTTTTTTTTTTTTTTTTTTTTGACACTTTTCTTTCTGGTGGTACATTTATGAAATTTTGGGATGGGATGGTGAATCTTGAAACCATTTTCAG